ACCATTCCCGAGCAGAGGCTGATGACGGCCGTGTGTTCGGACTTGGTATTGACATGGCCTTTGTAGAAACAGTGTTTGAGTTCTGATTCCTCCTCGGAATAAAACTTTGTCTGGTTCATCCCAGGCGCCCCGAGGAGGGTGACAGTGAACAGTGGAGCGATAAATCCGGCATGGGCAGTGAGATTAAATAGAAACTGCTGGCCGAAGGCAGAGAGGCGATAATGCGCCTGGGAGGAGGTAGAGGAAGGAGAGTTGGCTAAGGCAGGCCAGGGGTCAGAAGCAGAATTAATGCTCCGTCGCCTTCTTTTGAAGTGCACGTTTGCTGGAAAGGGTTCTCCTAGAGCATTCACTCGGATGGGAGATGCGACTTCGTATTCGTCCAGAGTCTCTAATAGTTTTACTGCAGAGAGAAGCAGAGACACATAATTCAAGTAACTAAATTTTCCACAAGTTTTAATTAAAAATGAAGGTGCTGGCTTCATCTCGGGGTAACTTTTCAGGGTTATCTCCCCTCCCCCCATAAGTCAATCTTTTCAGCCATCCATCGGTTGAAAAATATTTTCTGAGCACCTACTATGTGCCAGGAACTGTGCCGGCAGAGAGGCGTCGAGGATACACCATTCTGAGCCAGACAATGAGCAAGTCAAAATGCATAATCTCAGATCCTGAATAAAATAAAACGTGCAGCTATCTGATACCTCCAGTTATTAAATAACTAGTAGGAGGCATAGAGATTGGAAGGGGAAAGACTGGGGAGGTTAAAGCAAATTGGGGGAGGAGGGATGTGGAGGAAATTTGTTCCACAGTGACTCTCCCTAGAAATTTACTGCGAATGACCAAAGAAAGGAGAGACTGCGAAGCGGGAGATAATTCTTTCTAGGAAAAGGAGAGAGAGGCCTCCGCTGCGGGGTGCCGGCTGCCGGGCGCGGAGGATGTCCCGGGGCCAGAGCCTTGTTACCTTGCCTCGGGTGCAGCCTGTCCTTGCGCACCGCGGCCGCGGCGTCAGGGCTCCCCATCTCGGCCAAGTCCCGCACCAGGAGCGTTAGCAGTGTGGCCCAGGATACAAACTGCATGGTGCTCCCCACCCCTCCCCCTGCTACCCCCACTCCCCTCCCTCCTGTCCTCCTGGCTGCGGCGCCGACGCGAGGCAGCGGCCCCAGAGAGCGCGCGGACCGGGCGCCCGCCGCCAACTTTCTGACTTTAGGAGTCGCTGAGATTTCGTCGCGAGGGTCCCGCCTGCGCTCGGCTGAGCAACGCCGCCGCCTGCCGAGAGCTGAGCGGCTCGAGCCGCAGGAGGAGCAGGAGGAGGAGGAGGAGGACTGAGGCTCTATTGCTCGGCCGCATAATGTCCAAGG